TGATATCAATGCTGGACAACACTGCTAGGCCTGGAGAAAAAGGTAAAATAAAGGTAAAGGTTCCCTTGCTCGAAAGCCAGTCGAGTCCGACTCTAGGGTTGCGGTGCTCATCTCCGTTTCAAAGCCGAAGAGCCAGCGCTGTCCGAAGACGTTTCCGTGGTCATGTGGCCGGCATGACTAAACACCAAGGCGCACGGAACGCTGTTCCCTTCCCACCGAAGTGGTCCCTATTTATCTACTTGCAATTTCTTGCTTTCGAACTGCTAGGTTGGCAGGAGCTGGAACTAGAGACGGGAGCTCACTCTCGAACTGCTGAACTACTGACCTTCCACAGCCTGCAGTTCAGCATCTTAACCACTTGAGCCACTGCAGCTCCTACTCACTGGGGAGCAAGGTGGGGTATAAATGCCAAGTAATTCCTTGCTATGATTCTCTGATTCTAAGTAGGTCATTTTAATGAGTTGCCCGTGACCCTGCGGGACACGAGCTTCTTCTCCAATAATAATTATTTATTTAATTCATTTATACCCCACTGGGGAGAATGGTGGGGTATAAATGAATTAAATAAATAGTAATTATTGGAGAAGAGGTTCGTGTCCCGCAGGGTCACAGGCAACTCATTAAAATGACCTACTTAGAATCAGAGAATAAACAAGATAAGGTCCCTAAACTTGGGGAATGGATTAAAAAACTACTTTTTATGGTTGAGGAATTTTTTGCAGACTGGAAAGACTTTAAAGATTATTTCGAGAAATACTGGGATGTAAAGGACAATTTACTTTGCTTTGAGAACTATTGAAAATTAAAGGATAGTAGAAAATAGATAATTGTATAAGAATAACTGCTGAAGGATGGAAGGGAACAGCGTTCCGTGCGCCTTGGTGTTTAGTCATGCCGGCCACATGACCACGGAAACGTCTTCGGACAGCGCTGGCTCTTCAGCTTGGAAACGGAGATGAGCACCGCAACCCTAGAGTCGGATTCGACTGGCTTTCAAGCAAGGGAATCTTTACCTTTTTTTTACCTTTTTCTCCAGGCCTAGCAGTGTTGTCCAGCATTGATATCAATGGATGTCATGAGCTCCGACTCACAAAAACATCTGCTGGCATAAATTTCTTTAGTCTTTAAGATGTCTTTACCTTTACCTTTCTCCCCAGTGGGGGCCCAAAGCAGCTTGTACCATTTTCACAGAGTTGGAAAGGGTCCTACAGGCCATCTAGTCTAACCAGGATCAGCCTAGAGCACCCCTGACAAGGGTTTGTCCAGCCGCTGCTTACAGACTGCCAGTGAGGGGGAGCTCACCACCTCCCTAGGCAGCTGATTCTGCTGTTGCACAACTCTTCCTGTAAAAAGGTTTTTCCTAATATCCAGCCGGTACTTTCCCGCCCTTAATTTAAACTCATTCTTGTGAGTCCTCTCCTCAGCTGCCGGAACACCTCCCTGCCCTCCTCTAAGCAACAGCCCTTCAGATATAAAAGAGAGCACTAATGTCCCCTCTCAACCTCCTCTTCTCCAGACTGAACATTCCCAAGGCTCTCAGCCTCTCCTCATAGGCCCCCTGATCATCCTCATCGCTCTTCTCTGGAATCGCCCCATTCTGTCCACATTCTGACCACATCTCCTCTCCATTCTTTCACACAACCCTGCGAGGTAGGATAGGCTGAGAGAGCGTGACTGGCCCAAGATCACCCAGCGAGCTCCCATGGCACAAGTGGGGGTTCAAACTGGGCCTCCCAGATCCGAGTCCAACAGTCTTAACCGCCACACCACACTGGCTCTCACTGAGATTATTCAGTGTGCAGACTGGACAGAAGTAGCCACGCGCTGCAGCCAAGGTGTGGTCCTCCAACATGAATTTTGACAGGAAACTTCAAGGTGATCAGTAGCTTGCCTCACGTGTAAACAAAAGGCTTCGGCTGGGAGGGCGGGGTAGAAATTTGAAGAATGAATAAAATAATCAACGTAATTTCTCCTGGCCATTGTGTTCCTGTCAAAGTTCCAGTTCTCTGGAATGCAGGGGTTGGCCCAGGAGTGAGGGGTGTAACCGGTTTTTACCTGTATGGGGGGTGGGGTACAGAGATGCTTTGCAGGATACCATAACCTGTGATGGGTTCCGAAAGGTTGAAACTCATCCGGTTGAGTGGCATCAGGCTAGTTTTCTGACTCCAGGTAAAGCAGCTTCATATACGTGGTTGATATAAGTCTGGTAAGTCAGTTTCTGTAAGTCTGTGATATCTGGGGTTTCAGGGAGCACAGTTATCTTGGCACCAGGCCTTTGGGGAATTGCACCCAGAAGAGAAAGTGAAGACCCTGCAGGGTTAATGCGCAGTGTCCTGTGTACATAAAGTGATGCAAACAGTCAGCCTAAAGTCAACAACGGACAGGGCTAAAACCAACAAAACTTTGGTTTTGCATGTCAGGAAGACACGTGCAAACAAAGCTGGAGTGTGGTGACCTCTGAGGGGGTCACGTGCCAAGCCCAAGCCCAAGGCGCTTGTGCTGTGCTGTCTTTGAATGCGCCCTGTTTCCTGGGGCTGCTGTGGGTCGTGGAGGTCACCTGGAACCCCAGGCTGTCCTGATAGAGGGTAGGAATTAGCGTCAAGGAGAAATTGTTGCAGTGGCAAGGGGCAGATGAAGTATTAACAGATGGCAAGGCAATATTAAAGGTAAAGGCAAAGGTTCCCTTGCTCGAAAGCCAGTCAAATCCGACTCTAGGGTTGCGGTGCTCATCTCCGTTTCCAAGCCGAAGAGCCAGGGCTGTCCGAAGACGTTTCATGTGGCCGGCATGACTAAACACCAAGGCGCACGGAACGCTGTTACCTTCCCACCGAAGTGGTCCCTATTTATCTACTTGCAATTTCTTGCTTTCGAACTGCTCCTTTGGCAGGAGCTGGAACTAAAGACGGGAGCTCACTCCGTCATGCGGCAACTCGGGTCTCGAACTGCTGAACTACCGACCTTCCACAGCCTGCAGTTCAGCGCCTTAACCACTTGAGCCACCGCAGCTCAATATTACTCGGCTGAATAATCGGCCGGCCATCTTTAGCAGCGGTTAATTTATTTGATTACTTACTTACTTAATTTATACCCAGTCTTTCTCCCCAGTGGGAAGGGACCCAAAGCGGCTTCTCCTCCATTTTATCCTCACCGCCGCAACAACCCTCTGAGATGTGCTAGGCTGAGAACGTGTGACTGGCCCAGGCTCACCCCGTGGGCCTCCATGGCAGAGGGGGGGACTCCAGCCTGGGCCTCCCAGACCCAGTTCAACATTCTAACCACTACGCCACACTGCCTCTGGCCCAAGGATAAGGACTGTCTGTTCACAGGGATGGGGTGCAGGGGAAGCAGGGAGGTCAGAGGGGGAAAGCAGCCCCTATGGCGAAGGTGAGAGGAGTCGAAGGTAGGGATGGCCGCTGAGCCTGTATCTGGTATCTTTTTATCCCACCTTGTTTTGAATTTATATATTTATAGGCCACTTTTCTCCCGAGTTGGGACCTGAAGCAGCTTGCAGCACAATTATTTCCCTCTTCTGCTTTATCCTCCCTACAACCCTGTGAGGTAGGTTAGGCAGGGCCGGCTCGCCCGCTAGGCAAACTAGGTGCTCGCCTAGGGCGCGCCAGCCCTCAGGGGCACCAAAGTGCACCCTGCCCCCCCAAAGCTCACCCCCGCTGCCGCCACCCTAACCAGGCGATCGCCGCCGCAATAGCAGCTGGCAAGGAGCAGAGGCAGGAAGCGCTGGGGGCTTGCGCCCTCCGGCCCCGTGGCAGCTGAGCCCCCCCTCCCGGAGAGAGAGAGAAAAGAAAGGCGGCAGGAATCAAGGGTCTCTGCCCCCCCCCTCTCTCTGCGGCGAGGGAGGGAAGCAGGGAAGGAAGGAAGGAAGGTGGTGAGGAGGCAGAGGGCGCCATGGGGGGCGGGCGGCGCTGGGGGCTCCTCTTCCAGGGGGTGCCCCTCTTCCTTCTTCCTCCTTCTCCTCCTCGGCTGGCGATCCAGGGCCCGCTGTGCCGCGCTCAGCTGGGAGGCTCCCGGGAGGTTGGCATCTGCACCTGCCTAGGGCGCAGAAGCACCTCGAGCTGGCCCTGAGGTTAGGCCAAGGAAGTCGCTTCAGGTCACTCAGCAGGTTTTGTGGCAGAGTGGAGATTCGAACCTGGGTCGTCCTGATCCTAACAGCTGCAGCACACTGGCTCTTTAATTTGAGACCAGAGCTGAGGGAGAGGAACTGCTAGGTGGATGGAGGAGGGGACACAGGAAAATCTTCCAACAGGAGGGTCTTTTGTGGGAAGAAAAGCCGCTCTAGCTTGGTTGATTCACTTGCTTGGCCCGTTTGCCTGGAAACTGTCTTTGTCAGATGTTTGGCTTTGGCATTCTAACCAAATGTAATGGTGCACACCACGCACAACCCTCCCGGCATGCTCAGCCACTGTTTTGTGTGTGCATACGCTTCCGTGCACGTACAGGTTTACACGAGCAAGCGCATACCCTCAAAATCCAGAATTCCGTTGCACATACCCATGTTCCCCAAGGTGCACAAAATGGGGACTGTGCATGATGGGAAGACTGCACTCCCATGAAGCAAGGTTGGAGCCCCAAAACTGAATCTCAGGGAAGGGCTTTTGTTGTGCCAGTATGGTTTCTTAGGGGTATTGCTTGGGGCCTGCGGTTTGTAAACTGGGGCATCATGTAACTTTCATTGCCAGTTTGGTGTAGTGGTTAAGTGCGCAGACTCTAATCTGGGAGAACCGGGTTTGATTCCCCACTCCTCCACTCGCACCTGGCTGGATGGCCTTGGGCAAGCTGTAGTTCTGATAAGAACTGTTCTTGAAAAAGAGCCGTTTCTGTCAAGAGCTCTCTCAGCCCCACCTGGCTCCCAGGGTGTCTGTTGTGGGGAGGGGAAGGGAAAGGTGTTTGTAAGCCACTCTGAGACACCTTCGGGTTGTGAAGGGCGGGGTATAAATCCAATTTCCTCCTCCTCCTCTATGGTTCTTATACAACAAACTGCTTGAGCATTGGTGAAACTGAATTCTTGAGTCTTTTCTGGTAGCTTCCAGGAGTCTGACAAAGTTCAGTTGCGGGCCGTGAACGATTCCCACTTTAACAATATGCATCCAAATGCCTCTCGAATTCTACAGCCGGCTAAATTGATCTAACTGTCTGTGGGACTAATCTTTGCTCATTGACCTGGTACGTTGCAACACTCAAGAGCGAATTTCAGTTTAGCGGTTCCAGTTTTGTGAGCCGCTGGAGCGTGGAGCTGCCGTCTGGAAGATCCGCTGGTTCAGATCTGTGCTCGGCCTCTGTCTGAGCCAGCTGGGATGGAGTCCGATTAGACCCGCTTCCCTGGGCAGGAAGTTGGAATGAGCAGGCGGGGGGGGGGGGCAAGGAGAGGGGAGGGGGGGGGGGGGGGGGATGGCCGAAGAGGAGATCACTCAGAGGAGCCGTCAGGAAGGCCAGAGGCGGAAGGCGGAGTGAAGGGCAGGCAGGAGGCCGAGACCAAGAAGCAGCGGGGCTAGAGGCAAGCAGAAGATCCAGTCTGCTAGACAGGTAGTGCAGACTGGGAGGGGGCTTTCACCTTGAGCAAGCTGCTAAGAATGAGATGCAGAGGCGGAGGTGGTTTATTTTACAAAACTTCCACCCTGCCTTTCTGCCCTCATTAGGGCCACCAAGGGGACTCACTGATTTAAAACGTACATAATAAAAACAGTGTCTTAAAAACCATTCAAGCCAGACAGTAACCCATCACTAAAGCCAACCTAAAATTCACATACAAAAATATGAACAACAATGACAACAACAATTAAAATGTAAGGTGGGAAGGAGGGAGTGCCAGATGGAGCAAGCAAACCAAAGGGCTTTGTCCACTGGCAGAAGGTGGCAAGAGGAGGGACGGGAGAGTCTCTCTGGGGGGAGTTTGGTGCCACACCTGAGAAGGCCCTTTTCCTGGCTTGCCACTTGCCTAATCTCAGAAGGAGGGGGCACCTGAAGTGCGGCCTCGGAAGGTGACCAGAGTGGCTTGGTAGGTTTGTAAGGGAGTGGGCAACCGTTCTCATATGGGGCCTTCAAGCCATGTAGGGCTTTTAAGGTCAAAACCATCCCCTTGAATTGTGCCTGGAAACAAATTGGGAGCCAGAGTAAGAGAAGAGATTGGATTTATATCCTGCCCTTCACTACCCGAAGGAGTCTCAGAGCGGCTTACAACCTCCTTCCCCTTCCCTTCCCTTCCCCACAACAGAGACCCTGTGAGGTAGGTGGGGCTGAGAGCTCTGACAGAAACTGCTTGTGATAGAACAGCTCTGGGAGAACTTGTGACTGACCCAAGGTCACACCAGCAGCTGCATGTGGAGGAGTGGGGAATCAAACCCGGTCCTCCCAGGTTAGAGTCCGCGCTCTTATCCACTACACCAAACTGACTCTCAAGTAGATAGGCCAAGGCTGGTGTAATATGGCCCCTGTTTTCCATGCCAGGCAGCCTCCTGGCTGCAGCACCCGCCACCAACTGAAGTTTCCAGACACTTCTCAAAGGCGGCCCCGTGCAGAGCGTGTTGCGATAATCTAATCTGGATGTGACCAGGGCCTGCACCACTGAGGCCATGTCTTTTCTGCCCAGGAAAGGTTGCAGCTGGCTAGTCAGTCGAAGCTGGTAAGAGGCACTCCTGGCCAGCAACTTATCCAGCACGTAGGCCTGGGTCCAGGAGCACCCCAAACTGCGAACTTGTGCATTCAAGGGGAGTATCGCCCCATCCAGAATGGGTGACACGTCCCAGATCAGACCTTCTGCTCCCCACAATCATTTCTATCTTGTTGGGATTTATATAGCCCCAGCGCTGCCCTGATTGGCTCTTTCTGTCACCTGCCTCAGCTGGGCTCACCTATGCTCTTGTTCACAGAGTGGCCTCTTGTGGAATGGTGTTGTGGCCCCCTTCAAGCTGAGGCTGGCCTGTGGCAGCGGAAGTACAAGGTGGAAAGTGCTGGGCCCTGGCTCCCAGAATCCTGGTGTTGGGACCCCTGGCGCTACACAGCCACAGACTTGGTAGCTGGCAGGCAAGCTCCTTTCTCTCAGCCTTCGACATGTAGATAATGCTGTTGGCCTACTTTATAGGGCTGTTGTGAAGATCACAGTACATTAAATGCTGTGCACGATCAATGTCCGGTGCCAGTGCCAAGCAGCACTAGCTGCACAACATTGCAGACTTCTGTAATAGATTCAGGGGGGGCAGCCGTGTCTGTCTGAAGCAACAGAACAAAGTTTGAGCCCAGTTGCACCTTTAAGACCAACAAAAGGGGTATAAGCTTTTGTGTCCTTGCTAGCATGAAAGCCTATACCCCAAATTAAACTTTGTTGGTCTTAAAGGTGCCGCCGGATTCAAACTTTGTTCTAGACGTCTGTAATATTACACTATATTAAACATTAAACATTTCAACTTGAAATATAACAGAGCAGACAACATCTGTTGTTTTTCTAAAACAAAAACTGTGTTCCAGAAAGTCCTGGGAATCCTCAGACTGCTGTTGTCTTTTGATATCTTTTGACATTTTTAATTTTCAGTTGGGTGATGACTTGGGGGGGGGGATGCATATCAGATCAGGTGTGCTGTGCTAGGGAGGGGTTTCTGTCAGAGAGTGATTCAGCAAGAATGCGGCTTTTATTCTTCAACTCGAACTCACTTCCAATCACGGATCAACATCAGTCAGCCAGAACAGCTTTAACACAGCAGCTGCTCCGTATTTAAACATTCCCGGCTAATATAGCCACGCCCACTGTACAAATAACAACCTATCAGGTTTGACCAATCACAATCGCTCCCGCTCTGTAATGTGATTGGAAGACACATCCTGGGCTACTGCTCCTATTGGTTACATTAGGATCCTAGCCAGGGGTCATTTTGTAGAAAAAGAGCTAGGGGAACTCATTAGCATAACTCATTAGCATATGCCACACCCCCTGACATCAGGGGCCCGGCGGTGGACCTGCAAGGCCGGCGGGAGTGCAAGGAAGCCCCGCGAAGGCCCTCCCTGGCCCCAGGCAGGCAGGGGTGGGGAGAGGCAGGGAGGAAGCAACTTACCCTCCCTCTTCTCCTGCCTCCTCCTGGCTGAATGAAGCGGGGCGGCCGGAAGCAGGGGGCGGGGCTTCGTCATGTGCCCCGCCCCCGTACCTCACCCGGGGGAACTGCGAAATGACCTCTGATCCTAGCCCAGGCCGAAGCTTTACACGAGATGGCAATGAGCTGATTCACAAACAACAGTTCCATACAGTTAGTGCATTCAGGTCCATCTGAATACATAACAGTTTCCCCCCCAAAAAAACACTTTTCCTGATCAAAAATATCATTCCTCCAGAGCGGCTCGTT